GATCATGCTGATTTGGGTAATCTAAGGAAGAGATAAGATGATGGTACGTTAGATTCATATGCACCACAGAAAAAAGAGGGAAAGGTACAGACAAAGGTGAAATCGACCCTCACTTCTTCAAATGTCATAGCTGTTTGTCTTGACTTCAGTTAAATTAGGTAAGCATAATTAATATGAAATACTAAGGTATCTTTCTGCAAAGTACCCTAATTTATCTCATAGTTACTAGGCTGGATATTGTCTATGTTGTGCATCTAATTAGCTAGTTTATGACTGCTCTCCATTCTATTCACTATGTAGCTGTTCTTCGTATCTTATGTTATGTGTCTTCTCATTTATCATTAACATTGTATGTTTACTTTAATGTTGATTGGGCAGGTGATCTTACTGACCGACGGTATACCACTGCCTTTGCTTTTCTTTTGGGTGACTCTATTTTATCTTGGCAGAGTAAGAAGGAGATAGTTGTTGCTCGCTCTAATATTGAGGCTGAGTACCGAGCACTTCATGATGCTACTTCCAAGCTCCTTTGGCTTCGATGACTTTTATAGAATATGGGTGTTTCTCACCAGTCTAGTACGCCTCTTTATTGTGATTATCGCAGTGAAATTTAGATTGTTCGCAACGATGTCTTTTAGGAGCGCACAAAACACATCGAGATCAATTATTATTTTGTATGCCATCACCTACAGGAGGGTATTCTTTGTCTTTTTTTGGTTGCTTCAGTTGATCAGTTGACTGATATCTTCACGTAAGCTCATCCACTTGGTCATCACCATGATTTAGTTTGCAAAACTCCAATTGACATCTTCGATCTCACATTGAGTTTGAGGGGGGAATGTTAATGTGTATATGTTTATATATTTATATTTGTCGCACATCGGTTAGATTATGATATTTTACTATTCTCTCGTAGTATAAACACACGTCCTTATATATATATGAAAATATATGCCAAAACAATATCCAGTTGATATTCATTTTTTATTATCTTATTTCACATTTTTTTCATCACGATTAAAATATCCATCTAATAAAATACTCAACAACTTGAATTTTTATCCTCTATATATTTTTCCCGCAAAAAAAATACATCACTAATTTCTAGCGTATGTTCACCATTGTCTATATACGATGGTGTACATATGTTGAGAAAATTTTATCAGATTATGTATTTGATAAAAAAATTTGTCGATATTTTTAAAAAAATAATGAGTAAGAATTAATTTTAAATAATATAATCAAAAAAAAGAAGAAAATAAAATTATTATTTAAGATAATGAAATTGATTTTTTGAGCACTTAAATTTTAACGTTTTATCGTACCTTTAGGCACGGAGTTATGAGTAGTAAACGTACCATTAAAATATAAGTAAGTTTGTTTTTTTTTTGTGTTGAACCTTAGGGGTATGAGGGTGTAATTTTATTAAAAAATATTTATTTTAGTTAAAATATATATAAATATAACTGAGTAATGAAAATATTTAGTTTAGTTAGAAGATAAACATGATTAAAATGGGGTCTATCCACCAAGCAGGTAAACTTTATGGATATTAGACGGTCTGGCCCATTGGATGCAGACAAACAAAAACAATGACCCATGGTGAGGTTTACTTTTTCAGATTGGCGATGTGCTCTTTCTTGTCTCCCACATCCCTTTTCTTCTAAAGATTTTAATATTTATACCTTCCTCCCCATATTTTCTCCAATTACATTGATTTTAAATTGGATAATATAGAATCATAAATTTTAAAAAATATAAATAAAAAATTGATATGTGACACTTTTTTGTTAGCTAAAAATAAAGGTAGAATACCAAAAAGTAGGGATGGAGCTAGAAATTTTATTTAAGATGGACATTTTACCTAAAAACTTCAAATTATTATTTCCTAATTAATAAAAATAAAATAATATATTTAAATTTACTGTATTCTATTTGATAATTAAAGATTCATAAAATACAAAATAGTCAATCATTAGTAAATATAGTGTATACAAATAAAACTAATTACAACCCTTGATAATAAATAAGATTAACTGTATAAAAGATATTATGGTCGTTAACTATTTAACCAATCAAACTATTAACTATTGATCATTTATTCAGCTATGCAACTTAATTTAAAAATTTGCAAAGCCTAAAAAATGAGTTTTACATGTTAAAAACTTATTTAGATGTAAATTTGTATACTTCTAAATTTTTGGACAGGTTTAGAAATGCAATAGAAATGTTTAGAGATATATTACAAAATTGATGTCCCTTTAATGATGTAATAAAATACAAATTGCATATGCTTGGGCCCGATATACTTATAATAATTTAAAATATACATTTATTAATATTTAAAAAAAAAAAAAAATTGAGGGTGGCCGGTGCCCTCTTGTCCTCAAGTGGCCGCCGCTCATGCCAAAACGTACTTTTCGATCCCATTGTTCTCGGGTGCCTTCTTCTTATTTTTATGGTTGTGTTAAATGTGGTCATTCTGGACAACTACAGCAATCATCACAGCCAACGGGAACGGATAAAATGTACGAGTTGATTATATGCCTTGTGTTTCATTGATAATGTTTATTTTTTATTAAACAAAATATACCCTTATGTGATCAAGTGTTGTAATTAGGGTCGATGAGTTCGAACGAGTTTGAACTAAGCTTAAAAAATTTATTTTCTAACTTAAAAAATTGTTCAAGTTTTGTTCGTTTAAAAAATGAGCCGAATTCGAGTTGATCTCGAGTATTTGAACATAAACAAGTCGAGTTCGAGTCGAGTTTGATAGACTTATTGTTTAATCAAGACTAAAAAATTGTTTAAGTTCGACTAATTTAAAAAATGAGTCAAGTTTAAACGAGCTGAACTCGAGTAACTCGGTTTGATTAATGACCCTAGTTGTCACATCTTTTTAGTCAAAACAAGTTAATAAATCTAGATAGAAGGGATTGAATTGAAACTGTGTTAAAATTTTAAGAGAGCAATTGTTTATATTGAAACTTTAATGACCAAATAAAAATTAATACATACTACTATAGGGGTATAAATTATAAATTATCTATAGTTTATTTTATTCCACAAGTGGATCATTTTATTAGGTTTGGACTTTTAAAGATTATTATGGGAACTCATTTTGTTACGTTATTATATCATTAATGAAAAAGCAATCTGATAAAGACATCAATTGAAACCTTTTTTTTAATTAATATAAAATATGGGGGGTTCGCATGATAGGGACTTTGATAATCTTATTAACAAACTTTCGAAAGCAAAACCCACTTAGTTACGTCTACTTGCTCTACCCCTTTTTTACCATATCCCCCCACTCTATAAGGAATGGATTGTGCAATTAATGCGGCAGAGCATTTAGGTTTGTGAATTGTGGTGGTCCAAAACAGGAGCGGCTACACCTACACAGGAGGACTCACACAAAAACACTGCTGAACATAAATTCATAGTAGAAGACGACGACAAAAGTGGCCACAGCATTTTATCCACGTAATAGGTGCCCGTCTAGGCCTAAAGGGTTGGTATCGGGCCGGTCCAACACAGCCCATTGTAATGCATGCCTACGGGCCAACTCGTTAAGGTGTAAATGGGCCAAACACCCTCAACTATTGATAGTGTTTGCTCTCGAATATTTCATGGTGGCAGATCCTTATTACATGACTATTTGAGTTTTTAATTCTACTAGAATTCCATTTCACATCTTCAACTTTATTTTCACTTTATCTTAAAATTAAATAAATCTAAGGGTTTTATTTGGTGGTCAAAAGGAAGGAGTAGTAAGGCTAGAGAGCGGGCTTGGGAAAGAGGCAATCAGGTGGTTTTGTTTCATTTTTGAGGACCTTTGTGGGATTCTAATCGTGTCATTCCTCATTGGCATTAGTGCTCATTTTTGTAGCCACAATCCTTCTATAGTTGTTATGTTTTCTTCGACGGTTCCTTCCTTAATAACTTTCTTTCCTTGAATTTCCAAAAAGCCCTAGTAACTTGTCACTAGTACGTATAGTATAAATGCCGTTCCCTGAATTTCGAAAGGCAGGGTAACCGGCCATGATTCCTTTCTTGATAACTTCTGTAATTAGGGGTGGGTGTTATTCCCACTCTAAAAATATTCATCCCCACCCCCATTAAATCCCTTATTGTAAAACTGCTAAGCACACCCCCTATACTGTCTAAACCCACCAAAACTATTAAATATATTTATATCATCCCGTCAAAAACTCAACTTTCTAGCAATGACCATGAAGGTTAACTTAGGTTTGGGCCATCTAAGAACAGAGATGAACTCTACTCTCTTATCATTTTTAACGAAATAGAAACAACCTAAGAGAAGCAAGTCCGCCTACAGAATGTGTAGAAATGGTTTAATACGCGAAACAACACACTGACCATTTGAAGTTTGTTGTAATCCCCTACAGGTACCCACTACCATTAAATTGGTGGACACAAAATCCTAAAATAGATAAGTAAACTGTTAGTTGATAAGCTTGGTAAAGCACTATGGGATTCATTTTCTGGGAAGGTACATTAATGCTGTTCTGGAGGGAAAGAGGGGCGGGGGGTGGTCATTTGTTTTGTGGTATATCTCGAGGGGTGGTAAGCATATATTTACCAACATAATGGGGGTGAGTTTAGCAATTGATGGGGTAGGGTAGGGATAACAAGGGGTGGGCTTAGCAATTGCCCCCACACCCTATCCATCACCTAGCCATATCAAGTTGCATCTACGATTGTGCAGAGATGTTCCTCAATATCATGATGTTTCAGTAGAATGGTGATCAAAACTTCCTGCTGATTACATGCGTTCAAAAAGGCAGTGCAATTTACAAGTTTCGGTTTAAAGTCACCAAATCACCAAAGAGATATAAGAATGAGATCACTTGGTCCCTAACCATCTTAAGTTCAATACTATCCCCACCCCCACAAAAGAAAAAAGAAAACCCCAAATCAGAGACATTTGACCATTAAACTAAGCAACTTGAGATTTTAATCACTGGACAGCCGCATTAGTTTACTGGAAGCATCTGTTCAGGAAATGATGCCGCCTCCCATTGAGCAGCCCATCCTTTCTTCAAAATCAATTCAAAATGTCTAATATCTTCTACAACAGCTCTTACTTCCCATTGTGGCACTCCTTTACTATTTCACGAACCTCAATGCCAACCAAATATGTGTGTGTGTTTGTTTTAGACAGGAAAATTTTGACTGTTTGTTTCAGACCCATGAATTGAGTGATCGCATTGTATATGCCCATAAATGGATGGAATAGTTGGTGGTTATTTTCTTATGCATTAGGGGGGGGAGAGAGAGAGAGAGGAGTGGCATAAATTTGAACAGACGCACCTCTTGGAGGGCTCATGATTGTATTAGCAAACCTAACCAAGGTTGTGTTGATTCATTTGAACAGGTGTCTTAGGTGTCTAAATATCAACAAATGAGTACCTTGAAGATAGTACCATTCATACTCACTCTAATCAGGCACTTTGACGCCGTATTTTCTCTCCTTCTGCATCCCTTGAATTTCTCTCCTAGGATTTCATGTGATCTAATGTATCATCTTGCAAACACTAACTAATACACGTGAAGTACACAAACTCAAATATGCGAACAGAAGCTCATACATTTGCAAGCCATTTTCTAAGAACGCCCAAAGATTCCTCTTTTACCTATTCCCTAAAATCTCTATTTAAATCTCATTGTTTTTCAAAAGTGTTTTACAAAACTCCCTGTCCAAACAGATTTTAACATGTTTTTTGTATCCGAAAACAGAAAACACGTTTTTCAGATACAATCCAAACACCACCTCATTTTTTCCCTCCCCACTTTCAAAACTTCTCATAAGTTCACTTATCTCAAAAACTCAAACTCCTCGTGGCATGGTTCTAGGTTTCGATATCGACAATCAATTCAAAGAGTTCTAAGACACATCAATTACAGCGTCGTATTGCGGTGTAGCATAACACACCGTGTCATGGTCTTGATTTGAAAGGTCTCAAGTCAGATGTGACTCAACCGACTAATATAGGTATCGTCGATACCTTGAACCATGCCATCATAAAGCTAAAACTATATACATTACGCCATCAATTTATCAGAAACCACAACAAAATCCACCAAGATATCGAATTCAAAACATAAACACCATCGCATTACACAAAATTCAACAAAACCCAATTACAATCTAAAAAGCTGCAACAACAATAGTGAAAATTTGGATTTACCTCAATCAAAGACTGGCCGTTTGAGATTGTGGAACCACATAATCCACTACCAACACACTGTCAAGCAAATCCCTCACTTTCTCCTTCTGCTCATTGACAAGCTCAGCATTCGAATCCAATTCTTCCAATTCACTCAATCCCGGAAAAACCCCAATTGATCCGATCGAATACCCCTTGGCTCTATCCGGCGAGAAATTTTCCCCAAAACTAAGCTGATCAATTAATCCAAATTTACTTTTCAGTCCTCCGATAACACCCAAAATTTTCTCTTTTTCATTTTCTTCTAAACCTTCCTTCAATTTCAACAAAGAAACTCTCATTGCCGAACCGGGTTTCACGACCACCGGACAAGTGACGTCATCGTTCACCCAGTCGAAGGCCATGATGTCGTCGACGATCGGTTTGACGAATTCGTTGACGACGCCCACGTGGCTGGGGTGTGCGGAATACTCGGCGAGGTCGGTTTTGGATTTATAGCGAGTGTGGAGGATGTGAGTGAAGGAGAGGGATTGGGATCGGGTGCGAAGGAGTGGACCGGCGGTGAGGTGGAGCACTTGGTTGAGTGAAGTGAGGCTGTTGAGGCCGTTGACCATTGCGTTAATTCGGGTGGGTTCGGCGCTGGGCTTGGCTTTGAAGAGGACGACGTGTTCGATGATGTGGTGGTTGGGTGTGGTTGAGGTTGACATAGTGATTGACGGAGGCGTTACGGTGGTTTGAGGTTTGAAGCGGCGGCGGAGGAGGTGGAGGGGTTTGAGAGGAGGGAGGGAAGAGAGAGAGACTGGTGATAATAAGTGGCTACGGGCTCTGGAACATAGCATTGTAAGGGGGAGGAGGGGAGTGGCGTGGTGCTTGATGGTGATGGATGCGGTGACGTTCAACTCGAGAGTATGGTCGATTTGGTTTCGAGTTCCAATTCTCTCCTATTAATTTTTTTTTAAAAGAAAAAATTAGAAGGAAATACACCCGAATAGACTAAATTATAAAAAAATAAATAGAAAAAAATATTGAGTAATTAGGTCCTTAATTTTAATATTTATTTGTATCTAAATACATTATTTGAATTTTAATAATTTTTTTGTGACATTTTTGCCCTTCATTAATCTATGTGTATTTAATGCACCACTTTTCAAAGAAAAGTGGTGCATTAAATATCTCATAATTTTATGAGAAAATTTTAATGCACATATATATATATATATATATTTATGTATGTATGCATATAATTGTTATTAAATCTCTTATCTAATTTTTAAATTATTTTTTAATGCACATTCATTTATGCATTTTTTTTTTTTGAAAAGTGATTTTATTTTTAAATTAATTTAATATCCGAATAGTGTAATAGTGTAACAATAATAGCGTAAGAATAAAAGTGTAATAATATAACAATAAAAGTATAACAATGTAACACTAACTGTATAACAATAACAGTGTAACAAGCTATTTACACAAAATATTGTACAATTATATTTTTTCAAACATATAGTTTCATATAATTTCATTCAAAATAGTACATCTCCGTTTTGAATTTGTTACCAGTTACCACATACACAAAATTAGTAAACACTATTTTTGTTACAGTATATTTGTTACACTGTTATTATTATATTATTCGGATATTAAATTAATTTGAAAATAAAATCATTTTCAAAAAAAAAAACGCTTGAATCAAGGTGCATTAAATATAATTTGAAAACAAAATCACTTTCCAAAAAAAAAAGTACACATAAATCAAGGTGTATTAAAGATAATTCAAAATTTAAATAAGATATTTAGCAAAATTTATATACAAATATGTGTGTATATATATACGTATATATATATATATATACACGTATATATATATACACACACATATTTACATATATTAATAAATACACATGAATCAAAATACATTAAATATGTATTTATATGTATTAATAAACACATATAAATCAAGGTGCATTAAAGATAAAAAATTTAAATTAAATGACCCTAAAATGAGCATTTATGTCTTTGTAACTCAACTGTGTATTTTTTTTTAAAATATTTTATTTTATGTATTTTTTGTCAAATAAATTTAATTAAGTATACCAACTTTGAAAGAAACTTTTTTTAAAAAAAGTGATATTATTCTTCACAACAACATTGTTTTGCACAAATAATATTATATTATTATGTGGCCCATAGGCCTTCTTCTTAAGCAATCAGCCCATAATGCAAATTGACAAGTAACAGAATCATCATGTTACAGAATTTTTGTTTCAGTTATATTAGTGAGCTAAGTGATTCTATTCCACCTTTATCATTCGTTTTCCAGTAATTCCATTCCATCTTTCAATATACCACATACATTTTAAAAAATATTAATATTATTTGAACTTAAAAATTTGATCTAATTTACTGACATAATGACGTGACTTCAGTAGAACAATTGGATCAACACCAAGTTTCAATGTTTAATGAGCTCCACAGTCAATCTAAAGGTCATAAAGAATTAGGTCAGCAAATTAGGCCAGTAAATTAGGTTCCAATAACATTTCTCTTAAAAAAAATAGATTTTTCCTAGTAGGCTTTCTTTATTAGAGTTACCTCGTTTTTATTCTTAGTAACGGTCAGTTAGAACTGCCGTTAATACCCAATTCACTCTTTATTGTATCATATTTAGTGATTGATTGTCACTAATTCCTAATCCACTCTTTATTGTACCGTATTTAATAGTAAGTGATTCCTTCCCTTTAGCGGTGGTCAGTTAGAGCCGCTACTAATCCATGATCCACTCTTTGGAGTATTGTAATTAGTACTATGTGATTCCTCTCCTAATCCCTGATCTACTCTTTATTGTACCACTTGTAGTAGTAAATGATCCCTCATGGGCATATATACTACATTTCCTTTGGTTAATGAAACTTACTTACTTATCGAAAAAAATGATTCCTCCCCTTTAGCGGCATAGTGTCAAAGTTGTTTCATCTTAAATTCATTGTACTGTATTTAGTAGGAAGTGATTCTTACCACTTATAAGATGCCTCACAATTACTAGGGTTGGAAAACTGGAGTAAATAAGTAGAGTCAAGCTAAGTAGTAGTAGGTTGTTCAAACTCCATGCGAATCTTGTCGATCTCTGAACGAAGTTAAAATTTGGGTCACTTACCTCAAATCAATTAGATGGGTCACAAAAAGAGCATTATCTTGCAATGAAAAAGACATGATTTGTTTATGTGGGTGTATAAATTAAGACCTATCCACTTAAATATAAGAGAAGTGTTTAACTGCGGTAATAATTCTTACTTAAAGTGACAACAACACATTTGTTGCTAAAGGTATATACACATTCGTCAATTATTCCTTTGGTTGGATTGTTTTATTGGTAGATTTCTGTCGGGAGTTAACTTAATTGACTACTTTTGTGTCGGATTTATGTTGTGTCAACTTGTTATGTTGAAAGTTGTCGCTGCTAGGCATGCTGCATTCTCTTTGATCCGTAATTGCCCTATTCTAATCGTACTGTACTGACAGCAAACTTCAAGCAAATTCCCTCAAGTTGCATGTGCTGGCCAGAGGTTCTTTGGCCAAGATAAAGAGGAAGAGAAGATTGAAGGCATTAATGAGATCACCGGAGGAGACGCTTGAGAGGCGAGGAAAGAGAAGATGCAGATACAAAAGAGTGTGCGGGCTCTCATACACAGATTTGTTAGTGATGAACTATTTGTTTTGTTGGACTTTCATTGAAGAATAGGGCAAGCTCATGCTAGGGTCACCAAGATGGTTTTTTGGATTTTATTTATGTTTTGTCGAATCAAAATTTAAGTAGTACTTCTGATTTAGCATTATGGCTGCGTGGATTTTAATATCCTATTTTAATTTATTTTTTTTGTTGCTCGATTGCACCCGCCACCTTTTGACAAGTTTTAGTTGAATTCAATCAATGAGTTACGCAAAATAAAAACTCGTGAAAAATCAAAAGACGCACAAATGGTTTTCTAAAATTTAATATTATTATTTGTTATTTAAATTAAGTATTGTTATTGATTGGACCACATTGATACCTATGTAGAAAAACTTGAAGTCTACATCATCTAAAAATTGAATATCTCCAATAAAATTTGAAAAAAATGCATGGATTTTCGCTAAAAACAATTATCTTTCTAATGTGGGAAAATATAAAGCCATTACCTTAATACCATTTCTAGTTTAATAGTAATAACTACAGTAATACTCCAGTATCTTATTTGTCCTTTTTCAGAAAGTAAATTTCTTTGCTAGATCCACCAGTATCTTAGCTAATATAACATTCATAGGAATTTTAATTCGAAATTAAAATTCCTAAGATTTAATAAAGTTGGTTAGGATGAGAAATAACTTACCAAAATATGCAGTTCCACAACTCATCTAATTATGATTTGAGCTAGATTTTTAAAGAAATTATGAGTTGTTGCTTACTTCGTAGTTTCTGTATTTATTACGGGAATCAACCCAACCAAATCCCAAACATTTTAAACCTCAACAAACCTTATAAATCTAAAGATCGATAATTCTTAGCATGACTTGTTAACGGGAAATGAAATTAATACAAGATATCAAGTATAAATGAGTTTAGTTTTAGCAAGTTTTGATGATAACCGAGTGTTTGCGTAGCAAATAGTAGACATGAATTCGATTACAACGGACTTAGTTATTCTTGACATGAAAGTAATTCTATATGGCTATAAATAAATCTGATATGAATTGAACATATTTTACCAAAACAAGATTTAGATGCGAGAAGAACATCACATAACATGACACACTGCTCGCACTACTTTACGCCTAAGCGGATGAGTTATACCACCAAAAAGTTTACAAAGAACAAGCCAAAAAAATGGGAAGGAAAAAAAAAAAAAAGATTTCATTAACAAGTTACCAAAAAATGAAACGTGTTAACATTAATTGGCTCAGTTGGCACTCAAAAACTTGTGAAACCTCAGCACTGATTGTATTTACCTAAAAAGAGACTTTCGAGTGAACGTTAGAGGGAGAAAAGAAAGTGATTTGGAAAGCACTTGAGGCGTTACTGACACAAGGCACACATGCAGATTACTGTAATCAACAAACGTTTTGGAGCTAAGTGTGTAGAATAATCCTGCCTTCATCACCAACATAACCCTCTTGCGTGCTCTCTCTCTCTCTCTCTAGGAAAGAAGAGTGCTTCTTCTTACTTGAAGCAAACAAGTGGTCAGAAGAATCGGAACGGCATTGCATGGATTCAGGTGAGGTTCCAGAGATCTCAAAGGGCTTTGATTTAGTTTCATTTTTGCATGATGTTAACAAGTTTTTCTTTGTTTAAGCAAGAGATTTGGTTAACAAGATGCATTGCTTACTTATGACTTGAACATTCTTTGCTCTGTGATACAGGTAGTTAACAAGATTCTGATAGGATTTTTTTTCCTTTTGGAAAGTAATTCTGATAAGATATTGTGGTTAGGGTTCATTTCTTTTCAAGAAAAAACCGGTGCTATCATTGTTCTTTGGAACGATCCTGGCTGGTATTACTTGAGTTAAAAAGAGCCCAAATCTCAAAACATTAACAAGAAATCTTGTTTACACAAGTCATTAGTAATTAGTACTTGATGATCAGTTTGTCTTTTATTCTTTTTTAAGTTGATTTTATTTAATAGAATTTCCTTAAATGTTATATGTATATATGGGTGTGTTTGTTCTAATAAGATTTGCAGATCTGATGAACCTTATGCTCTTAACTCTACGTGATGTATGAGGAGGACCTAGAATAATTCATTTTCAAGATCTGAGGAATGGCTATCAGAAGAATCTTTCATCTTTCATCTCGAAGAATCGAGGATTTATTCTTTTAGCGTTTGTTGATTCAATCATTCAAGCATGCATGAGTGTTTCTAGTTCTGATGTTTGACTTCAGTTCTATCATAATATTTGCTTATGTAATTTAGTATTATACGAGAAATTGACTTGGTAATTTTTTATAGACTTGTCACACATGTCCTCTTTAACTCGTCTCCTCCAACATTATTCACATGACAATAGAGTCATTTAAAAAAAAAAAAAGGGTATCTGATATAAAGGGAGAGATATCTATCTGTAACTACATCAAAAATGGCCTTTAAATCCACTCTTTAAACGACAAATGATTTCCTTCCATTATTGAAGATACTATTCTTTCCATTCTAAATCATTTTATGATTACTAAATTTGGGAATTATGTTCCCAACTTACAGTCCAAACACACCCGCCACTAATTCTATTTAATCTTTTCTACACTATTGCTCATATTTATTATTCTCACATTTAGCGGCGGTTCAATCTTACGTCCAATAAATATTTATCATTTCATCATTTAATATATAACTATACTACAATAGGAAAGAGTTTTGGCGACGAACCATAGAATTAGTTGTAAAAATTTCTTTCCGCAATATAAGCAAAAGCGTCGCAAAATATCAAAATATTTTTTGACAACCTTTTTGTCGTCGAAAGCATCATGTCATACCAAAAATTGAAAAACATATCCCTTCTTCCACACGAAAGTCACCTTTGGCGTCAAAAGTTTTACAGACAAATTTTTGCCTACGACTACAAAATTTGTCGTGAATACCATTCTAATTTTTTATGTTGTACCTTGAAAGTTGTCAAAAAAATAGACTTTTACCGACAAACTAGAAAGTTCGCACAAAAAACATTCTTCTTTTAGAACAATTGAAACTGCTTGAATTTCTCCCAGTACTTTTTCGTACTAATAAAAAATGGTGGCCACTTCTTCAACAATATCAACTTCATTTGTAGTTCTTTTTATGCCATTAAAATCGCCACTAATTTTATTATCCTGCATTCTACTAATTTAGAAGCACTTGGTCCTTCACCTTTAGTGGTGTTTAGAATTGTCACCCTATCATGCTTACCCTAGTCCCTACTTTAATTAGCGGCGGTCAATCTTTCTACTAGCCTTTTTTTTTTTGGTCGCTAAAACTTGATTGAAGTTTTACCCTTGGCGGCGATTCATAAAACCGTGGTTAATATAGTTAAATAAGTTCAATAAATCACTATTATAGGCGATCCAAACCGACAACTAGTGATTAACATCCAGAACTAGAGATGAAACGATTCACATAATCATTTATGAATGTATGTACACATGTTGAGTAGAGAGTACCTAGTAATAGCATTTTCAATCCTCAAAACAGTTATTTGTATATCAGAGAAAACAGTATCTTCTACTTGAACTCTTTCTTTCATTTTGTCTACAATCAATGAAACATTCCATGTAACTGAATTCTTCTTCTCATAGGTGGAAAAAATATTTGATGCTTAAATTTATAGCTAGAGTTCATGAATCTTAATCTAATGGTTTTGTTGAGTTCCCTTGATTTCAATATGTGTTTATTTCAGGCAAGAAAACAGTAGAAACAGCAAGTCCTCTGATGATTTTCAGAAGAGCTGTTCAGAAATCTCCAGAGAGAAATGCTGGAAGAGATGTTCTTCCAAAGGATCCAGTCATGGTTGATATGAAAGAGTTCTTGGGCATAGTGAGTTGCCCCATATGTAAGAAACACTGTAAGGAGGCTTTCACAATTAATGTCTGCCTGCATACTTGTAAGCTTCGATCTCTACATTTTTACTGATTTCCACATTTGCAGATTTTACTTATTGTTGTTGTTATGATCTTAGTTCCTACTTGTTTACAGTTTGTAAATGAGACAGCGATTCACAAGTCGAGTCGGTTTCAGGCTTCCAAAATGTGTAGAAATATTTCTTTAGAATCCATGTGTTTATACATAACTTCTGATTGATTATGTAGCAGAAACATTTTCCTTTACTTCTGGCTTCTTTTATTTTGTTTCAAGGTTAGTATCTAATTAAAAATTTCATGTTGGACAGACACATGCCATTCATTTGGTACCCTGGTAACACTTGTTTTCAGCATTTTCTTGTTTTCTTGCTTTTTTAAAATTCTTTTTTTGAGTGATGTTTGTTTTTCATAGACTTGCTTGCTTTTTGCCAGTTTAGTCGCATGTATAGAAGCACTTAGATATCTGTGTTTAACTACATTATTTATATACTAAGATTCATATAAGATTATTTATGTGATAAAGTGATCAAATATGGTTTTGATGTCATGATAAATTGCTTTTTTACTTGGAAAAAATCATTTAAAAATAGTGTTACCTAACACAATAGCTTATTTAATTAGATTACTGAAAATACCCATATTTTGTTCATCTAATGATTTACTAGTTTTTCAAGTTCACCCTGTGACTTAAAGTATGGATATATCTTTTTGTATGTTGAAATATTAGAACATTGAAACCAATTGAATCTGTAGTCAAGAAAATAGCTAGATTTGCATATTGAGAGAAGAAAAATAAACACGTAGACTTGATGTGTTTAGAACATAAGTGAATATGTAAGATTATGTTTAGTGAATCGTGGGTGATAACCAAATCATATTCAACCTTTGCTTGGTGTGATGCAAGGAAATTGTAACTGTAACAGATTTAGAGTTGTTCATTCATGTTTTCTCCTAATTAAATGCTGGAAACGGACTTTTATAACTCAGGCAAAATAAAACAAAATGAAGATGAGAATAGTTAAGAAAAAAAACTGTGCAATCAGAGAACTAATGTTTTACATTCCTATCTATGACTATCCCTTTGTGTTTTGCAGTTTGCAAGGACTGCATAATTCCGAAACTTGAAGAGTTTAAAACCAAACGCTGTCCAGTATGCAAAAAAGTCCTAGGTCCCTCTCCTGAAAAATATCTAAGGTGAGTTCACACTTTTCTGCAGTCTCTCTCTCTCTAAGAATAGAGCCACAAACAAGCCAGACTAATGACATACTACATTTACTTCAATGTTTTTAAGTTATTTTTCCCTCCAATTGTTCACTAACATGTAAAGGTACTCGAAACGAGCTAATTTGTCAACTTTTCAGACCTGATAAGCAACTGCAAGGTATTATAGATGAAGTTATCAAGGCTGCGAAAAGAGCTGCAGGAACCAAAACATCACAAGCTGAGAACACGAAGCTGGAAATTGCTGAGTCCAGCGCACAGGCTACAAAACCATTGCTGGAGAATGTAGGTTTTCCAGAGGAAATCGGAGAAAATTTTGCTAAAGATACTGAAGATGCAGGGAAAAAAGGTAAAAAACCTAAGGGAAAGAAGAAGAATAAACGACGAATGAAAGAAAAAGCTCGTCAAGTATCATCTAGCCAAGAAAAAGGCAAAGGGAAGGTGGAACCTACTAATGTTGAAGAAGAAAATTCAGAGGACAAATCATCTGGAATTGAGGGAAATGCTGGTGTTAGAGAACTACTTTTCGATGTGGCACAAAAGACAACTCGATCCTTTTGGGTTTCTTTTATTCCCCAAGAAGACGAGTAAGTAAAAACTGTCCAAAATATCCTAGAAAATATATTTGGTGCTCTTGAGTTTCTCAATAGATCTCATAAAACAGTTCTCTCCTACCTGTTTTAGGGATGGCCATAAGTACCCTTCGCTGGACAAAGCCTACATCCGTCTCAAGTAAGTTTGATTTAATGATTCATACAGACGTGCACATGCATTCACATCAAAACAAATTCAAAACTTCTCTGCTCATCAAACATTGCGAGACTGCAATCCATGAACTAGGGCATCACTATTTCTGTAATTTTTTAGAATATTCTCTCATTGTGTAGCCAAGAGATTAGTATTGGAGTTCGTGTGCAAGACAAGTATAGTCTGATATCAATCCAATTACTTATTAGGTTCAGATAGCTTATGTTTCATCAACTTATGATCTCTAGGAGGACAAAACTAGAAGATTTATGTTTTTTTGTTCAAATTTCCTCTGTTACTAAAAAATGAGGCAACTAATTTGCCATCTATTTGCAGGGACCAAGACATGACAGTGTCTACCATCCGCAAATACCTCAAGCAGAAGCTGAATCTAATGGACGAATCAGAGGTAAAGTTTTACGTACATTGGTTATTTATTGCATATTAGTGTAGATATGAAGAATGTGACAATTTTCCATGCATCCAAACAATACAAAGGCATGTTAGAGTGGTGTTTTAGGCAGTTAATCCGATTGAGGAGACATATATAGTTCATACTTCTTCAAAACAAAGGGTTTTGCTGTTTTGGAATAACAGTTAGCGGAGCTAAGTGCTGCATGATTTATTTCCAAAACCTGCATAATCATAAATAGATCATCTTATTTGATTTCAAGTAACAATGGCCCACTTCAAGTAAATGCTAAGATCATCCACTTTCCCCTTTTCACATTCAAAAAGGATTCAAACCTCATCAGCTATCATGGCATTAAAACAAACATTAACAAACAAAAGCACATTATGTCCCCAGCTACACACACACAAAGAATTGGACAGATTGTCTGGTAAGAAATTGATATTTAGACTGTTTGAAAACAATAGTAGTGAAAATAGTTGTGGAACAAATTGTACAGGTTAGTGGAGAAAAAGTAGCAGGGATTTCTTGTTGTAGAGAATAACATTGTTGACACGTTTGTGCAGGTGGATGTCCATTGCTGTGGTCTAAAATTGAATGCAAATCTGACCCTAATGGACATAGAGCACCTCTGGCTAAAATACAGGGTGCCGGACCATGCCAAAGCCAAAGCGAAGTGGGATGTGAAGGAAATTGTGATGGAGCTGGGTTATAGCAGAAACAAGGAATTCAAAGTCCCAAAGGAGAACTAGCATGTTTTATAAATGTGTCAAGCTATGAAACCTTCTAGCGTAAGTTGCAGCCATTTAATTACTTGCATCAGCCTTTTAATTACTTGCATTTACAATATCAGACACATGTACTTGGTAAATTTGCATTCGGGTTTTAGACTGCTTCTGCATAAGCAGATCTCTGTTGCATTTTAAATCTGTTATGCTGCCAACAATGCTTGTGGCTTTCTTTGATCATTCTACTGCTGAATGATAAGAATTTCAGGTCTTTAAGCATAAGGGTTATATCTCACACCTAGTATGTGTTATATGTCATTGTAGTTTTCAGTGTTTCGATTGCTTTAGCTTAGTCTCTGGGGGTGTATTGAATTTCGGTATATGTAATCTTCAAACCTCTTTATGATATTAGACATAAAGTTGCTCAAGCGGCCTTACAAGAAGGGCATCTCGTGGGTCACTTGAGCAGCACGTGGTCTAATTTTGTCTGAAAGTTGGACAGCGATAGATTGGGGGACAGAAACTAAAATTCAATACTTCAAGTACCTACCAAAGTTGATGAAATTCAAACGTTGGGGACTAAAAGGACACAGATGACAGAACCAATCCATTCGGGAGTCGGGAATAATTATTCATGTACCTCATCTTGGTTTGGAATGGTTTACATTGTTTTTCCTTCTTTTATGCTGTGGAAAAAAGTTTTCTGCTTACTGCATATATTGCATGTTTCCTGAGTTAAATGCTTGGCAGATGAATACATCGCGATCAGAAGCAGGGGCAGAGCCAGAAATTATATCTAAGGTGGGCAATTTACTAAAAAGTTTTAATTTTTTTTTCTTCTAATCAATAAAAATAAAATAATGTATTCAAATTTATTATATTTTATTCGATACTTAAAAATTCATAAAATATAAAAATGGTGAAACTTTGATAAATATAGCATACATAAACAAAAACAAACAAAAAAGAGGGGCTAATTATACCCCTTCATAACAAATGAAGTAAACTGCATAAAAGATACTATAATATTTCTCCATTTATATGATCAAACTATTAGTCATTGATCACTCATTTAATTAAGTAACCTAATTGTCATAATTTCTATAGCTTTTTTTTTTAATTGAAATCTCTATAGCTTAAAAAAAATCAGTTCGATATGTCAAAAACTTTTATAGATGTATCCTTAAAGTGTCCAAAGTGTGTCAAAAAATTCATAATTATTTAGGTACGGGGACTATACTAATTGATAGAACAAAAAATGATAGAGTAGACACACTTAAATATACTTCAAATTATTTGAAATATACATAAGTAATATTTAAAAAAAAAATTGAGAGTGGGCACCTGCCTCCCCGGTCCTCAAGTAGCTCCGCCCATGATCAGAAGGAAAAGTCCCTTTTCAGGACCTTACATGGATTTTTTGTGGTTTTCACATTTGACCAACTCAATGTAGTTCTAGAAAGAGTCGTCGTCTCAATATGATTTATTTAAACAAGATCAAGTTCAATTTTCTGAGAAATAAACATGATAGAACAAACAACATGATCATGAACACACTTTGAAATAGAAACTGATGGATGAACCAATTATGCAGAAACTACTTGCTGCAACTGCTTCACCTTTGTGACGTACTCAGCCATTGCTTCCTCTTTGGACTTCCCTGTTACAAAATAAAAAGCAAAGAAAAATTAAACAGGTCAGAAAGTTGTATTATGATTTAAATTCCCAATTGTTTTCTACTACCTTCAACTTGTTTCCATGCATCCCATTTGGCTCTCTCCTTTGGGATGAAAATTCCGGGACGGTCTGGGAAAAATAGAGGTCATTAGAATGGTTGATGATTTAAGGAGAGATAGAGGTAAGCTTGTGTTTATTTATGAGCTAGTATGCTTACTAGTGTTTACAGCTCCAACAGTTGCCTGCTTATAAAGCCCATACAGGATGAGTTTATCTGCATCCTTGGTCATTGGAGGCAATGATTTGGCCTGCTCAGCATATTGTTCAAACTCCTCCTACCATCAATATTGTTTGAAAAGAATCTGAGCCCAAAGCAGGGAAGAAAAATTGCATTTGTTTTGTTATATTAGAGAGAGAGAGAGAGAGTACCTGCAAAGCCATTGATGAAAGTGAATGCGTAGGAAATGTAGGTAAGGTACCTGTGTTTTTATAGGAGGCCAATGACGGTTATTACAAGGTTCATCTTTCTAGTAATTTTCGTTAAGAGTAGGGGAAAATGTAGGTTGAGTTTTAGCCGAGGGACACAAGACAAAGGATTGGACAAGGCTGGCCTTCAG